AGCAGTAATGATGCTGCATATTGCTTACCCAATTTACCCATTTTAATTTAACCTTAGTTGAAGAAACAATTACCCATGGGCTGCTAACCTTGGTAAAGTTAAAAAAAAGTAATCACATGTGAATATCCGGTATGCTTGTTATACGCTTTTGAGGAACTATCCTGCTGGTTTTACATCTCTTTCATCTCTAACTAGTCAACTCTCTCTTTTTATTGATTTGTTTTCTTTTTTCTTTCTATAGGTGGCACTGCAGTGGGTTTCCAAAATATGATGGCTGCTGTATGTGTATCCATCTTAAGTGCTTCATGTTTTTTTTTTAAAATCAGCTTCTGTTTTCTCTCTCTTTTTAAGGACTCTCTTAAGTTTCTAATCTCTGAAGGATGGAGTGATGATAATTAGGCTTGACTACAGTGCGGCAAACTCTAAACTTGCATCACTTGTTTAATTGCTTTTCTCAATTGCTTTTACGTATTTGGTTCTTAAGTGTAGTAAGATATTGGGACACCTCAAAAGGACTACTTCCTCTGTGCAGAGACCCCAGCTGCAGCTAGAGCTTGGGTTATTGCAGTGAGTATTAAAGTTTCTGATCAGCGAAGCTATTAACACAACAATTGTGATTGCACTTTGGACAAGCTCTTATATTTCATATGTTGATTTTTTATTTTTAACTGTGACAAAGATTAAGTTAGTTTTAAATTATTTTAATTTATTCAAAAAAATTGTGTTTAATGGAATATGGGGTTTATCAAAGATTTCTTGATGGTATACCTAACGGTTTATAATGATCAGTGCTCCATGTGATTCGTACTACTACGTAAGAGAGCTCTTTACAATGACATGTCTATGTAATGCATTTCTCTCATGTATAAGGTTTCTAAACATTATGTTTCAATGCTTTTTGATTAAAAAACATTATCAGGATTTAAAAAAAGGACTGGAAAAGCTGAAAGAGTTTGATCCAGAAAGTGCTTCAGGTATGGACTTGAAAAAACAGATGAATGAATTGAATATAGTTGAAAATAATATGTGAGGCCATTTCTACATGTAGCATATTAAAGTGACTGTGATTTATTTTACTTGCTCCTTGGTGTAGCATATGGAATTGATTTATTACCCAGCTAGAGCTGTTTCACTAGAAACAAATACCTGGATATTCCCAGTTCCACACAATAGAACATATTTGTCTTGTGAATAACTGTCTTTAGAATACTACATTTTGAGGAAGCTGATTGCATTTGGGCTTTCAGTGTTGAGTAGTTTTTATGTATGATTAATTGAGTGTATGAGTAGTTTTTATAAGTATATCATTAATCGAGTGTATCGGTCGTTTTTCAGTGTTGATGAATGATGCTGCTATGAAGATTTGATGATGTGAAGGCTGCTATGAAAATTTGATGATGTGAAGGCGATGTGTACTTATGAAGTGGTGTAATCCGTGTAGGCGACTCACTTTTTGGGACTAAATTGTGTAGTTGCTTAGAATGCAAAATTTAACAACAATATAGACTTGAATTTGAATTGAATATTCTACTTTAAGCGTTGAATTTATAGTTTGAGATTTATTGATTTTGTTATTGTTTATGGGTTCGCTGAATATTGAATTGAAATTTCTAAAATATAATTGATTTGGAATTTCAAAATTATAATTGTTTTTGAATGCTGAAACAATACAAAACAAAGTGATACCAAAGCGTCACTAAATTATCATTTTGCTTGGATGGAAAATAGAATTATGTGATACCACAGTGTCATTAACATATGTGATGTAAAAGTGTCGCTGAACGGTTGTGTCGCATATGTATCACTATTTGGTGATACTATAGTGTTATAATTTAGTGACACTTTTAGTGACACTTTTTTAGTGTCACTAGCCCCCACCTTCAGCGACACTTTTTTAGTGTCACAGAAGCCTATTAGTGACACTAATTTGGTGTCACTGTAAGACATTTTTCTAGTAGTGTAGGGAAAGTGGAGAGGGTCTTATCAATCATTTCATCTTCTGTGATTGGTTTACCACAGAAATTAAGGCGCGCTTTGAGGCGTAACATGTCCTTATTAAAATCGTTGATCTTTTTGTAGTCGACTAAGCGGATTTCATTCCATTGCACTGTCAGTTCGGGGAGCAATGTGTCATGTATGTTCCCAAAACGACCTTTTAGTGCGTCCCACAGTTCTTTGGGGGTTTTCAATTGTAAGTATTCCCAGCGTAAGCTAGGGTCAATATGGCATCTAAGGAACATTAACGCAGCAGCCTTTATTTTTTCAGACGGTGCATTATCTTTTAAACTTTCAGGGTCGGCAAGCGTGGCGGAATAGTCTTTAGCCACAAAAGTGGTTTCTATGTTAGAAACCCATCGATGGTACTCAAGCCCTTCTGAGTCCAGGATGTCAAACTCGGGTCGAGTTGGATCAGTCATCTTAAAATATAAAATTGTATGAGTGTCGTTCACTACCATTTATCGCTAAAAAAAATGAATAAAAAAAATGCGATTCCTTGTGTGAAAATTCTTTATCACATAAAAACAATGTCATGTGGTATGTCTCTTTGCAGACAATATTTTGTATAATGCATCGAAGAGAGGAGATATATATTTATCTCCTTAAAAAAATCATAGAGATTTTTTTAGGATGTTATATGGTGTGTTTAATATATAAAGTATTGATATTGGTCTAATGAATGGATTAGGTATATCTCATTTTTTTTTTTTGAAAAAAAGAACGAATTTAATAATCCTTTTAGTAATATTATTTATACTGTTGAATTATTGAAAATATATTTTGCCATATATTTTAATTATATAAAAATGGATCTTAAAAACGAATTTAATTATCATTTTTTTTCGAACTTAAATAGTATATTTTGAAAAAAAAATCGATTATTTTTTATATTTTTTTAAGGCAAACTTCGAATTATCAAAAATAATTAATTATCGAATTTTAGTTATCCAAAATTAATTTGTAAAAACGAATTTAATAACATAGTAGTAATTTAATATGCATATATTTTTAAAAAAATTGCTTCGTATATGCGGATTACCAAAAATTGAAGTTTTTTTTTCATTTTTTTTATTAATTTCGGGAATGAGATTGAATTTTCAAAAAAAAAATGAAAATATATATAAATTTGCTTCATATTTCGTTAAATAATTTTATTGGTGTGAACAAATGGCAAGTTTTAAAAAAATTGACATGAAAATATAGTCTAGAAGTATAAAGAAAAGGCATGTACATGAGTCAACCATATATATACACACGTAACATTTTATTATGCGTGTGGGTGTATGCATGTATCAATTGTATGTTATGAATAATAAATGTGCATAAAAAATGGAATAGTAAAGTCAAGATTTGTCATATATATTCATTTAAAGGTGGCGGTTTTCTAAATAGAATGGAAAAATTGATTTCATTGATTATTTAGTATTATGATATATTTAGAAGGATATTTTTATGTTAATAAATTTTGAAAGAAAATTCGCACTTTTCATTTTTAGATTCTTGTCATATATATGTTAATATATTCTTTGCATATTAATTAAACATACACATATGGGGAAAAAATATTAATATAGATGGAAAGGAATATTAAACATATATTAAATAGTGAAAAGAGTAATCTTACGTGATTACGGTTCCAACTATATGTAAGTGACATATAGCATTACGGAAAAATATAACCACATAATATGTATAAAATAAATAAATAAATAAAAATGTATAATATGATCTTAATTCCAACTATATGTATTTAACATATAGCTTTACGGAGAGTATAATCATATAAAGTAAAAGTAAAATATGGTTAATTCGTGTGTTCTTTGATTCCAACTATATGTATATGACATATAGCTTTACGGAAAAATAAGATCACATGTATGTATGCAAGGAAGGAAGATGCATAATATAATATTGATTCCAACTATAAGATTATAACATATAGCATTACGGAATTATATTAAAAAAACCTGCATCTATCTCCGGGGAAAAAAATGAATGAGGCATAATATCAAACACTTGGTTTGCAAGCAAAAAAAATAGATCTCAAAGATTTTGAGTTGAAAAATACCTCAAAGATTTTGAGTGTTGCGGTGGTGGACATTGGAGTGGACTGCTGCGCAGAAGTGTTGGAAGGCTGCTGTGGAGAAGTGTTGGAGTGGAGGCTGCGGACTGCTGCGGCACTTTGGAGGAGGGAGGCTGCGGACTGCTGCGGCAATTTGGAGGAGGGAGACGTGGAAAAATTTAGGGCTACGTGTTGATAACGTGTTGTGGGGAATGTGAGAGAGGTGTGTTAGTTCATTAGCAAGCCTCCTTTAAATAGGAGGAAATAGGGTTTACAAGGCATGGGCAAATGGGCCATATAAATAAATGCACACAAAACCCTAAATACACTTTCTATCTATAACGAATGCACATTAAAGGTAATTTCCTTCAACAAGATATAATATATATATATATATATATATATATTATACTACACACAAATTTGAAATTTTTAATATTAAGATTTGGAGTATTAAAATTATTTTCCACTTTTCTCTGATAGTATTGAAATGAAAAATGAGACGTTGGTTAAATGCACCAAACCCCCCTTGTGAAATATAAATTCGGCGCATTAGCTCCTATAATTTAAAAAATGCGTCAAACCCTCTTGTGTTTTAATTAATCATGCGCAAAATCCTCTTCAAGAACACATTTTTCAATTTTGAAATCACTTTTTTTAATAATATGATTGAATATTCAAGTAACTTTGTCAAAATTTCTAAATTATACAAAAAAACTAATCATTTTTCATCTTTTTTAAAATTAAATTTATTCTTGAAAAGGATTTGGCGCATGATCAATGATAACACGAGAAAGTTTGAAACATTTTTTGAATTTATATTCCACGAGTGAATTTTGTGCATTAAAACCATCCTAAAAAATGAAATACGAGTAATACGGAGAAATTTCATAATTTCCTAAATAAATAGACGTATGCGACGCAGTGATGAATAGAGAGAGAGAGAGAATTTAAAGGGTAAAGAGGGCGGAGAGAGAGTACTAAATCCACTTTTCGTCCTGCTGGATCTAGGGTTTCCTCTTCCCCTGTGTGACTCAACTGTAATCAGCAGTAGTTCATCAGACCCTAAATCTAAAACTTCGATTTTGACTCCAGAGGGTTCAACGGCATCCTCACCGTCGTCTGTAATACAATCAACCACTCTATCGAAGGAAATCTGTTTTCTTAAAAAATCTTAACTACTCTTTGGATGTTTTTATATTCTCTCTGTATCAGTTAATCATAAGAAATTCGGACCGACGATATTCATATTTCAAAGAACGTGAACTACGACGATCTTATTGCCGGCTTTCTATTTTGATTTTATTATAAAATAAAATTTCCACGACGAGAAACTTAACGACAAAATCTGAATCTGGTCATTTGTAAGTTATTTTTGTTGTCGGGGTAGGCGAATATGTATAAATCTATGGAGATGGTGAAGGTGTATGAAGGTCAGACACTTCTGGGAGAGGTGGAATTGTGCCCCCAGAACGGTGTCGTTTGGACCGAGAAGGAAATTCGAGTTTCTCACTATTCGCTACCCAGTGAGAGATGCCCACCACTTGCAGTGCTTCACACTGTTGCTTCCTCCTCCTCCTCCTCCTCCTCCGGGCTTAGCTTCAAACTGGAATTCAGGTCTCCAAAGACGCAACAGACACAGGACTACTTGCCACTCCATGCTTTGCATGCCACCTGTCTCAGAGAAAAGAAGGTATATCATCAAAGCTGCTGAAATTCTGAAACTCAGTGTAACAGATTGGATATAGAAAAACTGAAAACTTTCAATCTTTAAAACCTACTGCACAAGCTTACGTTGAAAAGAGAACTACCTGATTCATAAAATGTTCCAGAAACCCTAAATCAAGCAAATAATCTTAATTCTCTCATTTATATCCAATTAACGACTCTGATCTACGGTTTAAGAAGCAATCATAAAATAAATTTATTCAAAATACAAGATTTATTAATGCTCTGCAGAAAGAAGCTATCACAATCTTAATTCTATCATTTATTAATACTTTGCATAAATTAAGGACAACCTTTGCAGAAAACATTAAATAATAGTTTTTTCTAAATACAGAAATACAAACTATTTTTGAGCATATCAGACAATTATAAATCAAGTCTAAGTTTATAGAAATGGACAGTAGTGTGAATTATGCGTATGAATGTTTCCATTCTAGTTGGAATATGAGACCTGTATAGAACTTGATGAATGGTTTTCCGGAATTTTGTGTTGAACCTTGTTATGAATGTGTACCCATTGGATGCTTATGATGACTATAGCATGACATCATAATTGGTGGTAGATAGTTCTCTCGTCAATTGCGGTCTTATGGTTATTGACTTGGCTTGAAATGATAAATCATTTGTATTGTAATAAAATAATGTTGGGTTATGTCTGCCTCTTTTCTTTTCAATGTTTATATTTAGTGTTTGGGCTATCAGTTGTGATTCTGCGTGTGCAATCCTGTCTGGAGAACATTACAAAGCTTCTGATGACAAATGGTGCTTCCATGATACATGTGAACTAAAAATTCTCATGCTTTTTATACAGAGCAGAGCAGATTTATCCATACTTTTTAACCAGATGTGACTTCATTATGCCTGCCTAATTTATCCATAATTTATCCATACATTCTAGCATAATTTTACTTGAATAGATGTTGCTTTATGCCTTTTTATTAAATTTTGTATCATAGATGGCAATTTTAATACAATAATATTGGCTTACTCTTGCTTCTTGGCTTTTTTGTATCTTTTTATTGCATTGTCCAACACTTGATTATATACTCCTTCAACACAGACTGCTGTGATGTCACTTGGAAGGGAGGAGCTTCATTTGGTTGCCATGCAGTCTAGGGACTACGGTGGCCTTTGCCCATGCTTTTGGGGATTCGTCGTTTCTCCAGGATTATACAGCTCCTGCCTGGTCATGCTAAACCTGAGATGTCTTGGCATTGTATTTGATCTTGATGAAACACTCATAGTTGCCAACACTCTCAGGTCATTTGAAGATAGGATAGAGAATTTGCAGCGCAAACTAAATGCTGAGACTGACCCACAACGTGTATCAGGTATGCTGGCTGAGGTGAAGCGTTATCAAGAAGATAAAAGTATATTGAAGCAATATGCTGAAAATGATCAGGTCATTGATAACGGAAAGGTGATTAAATGTCAGCCTGAAGTCTTCCCAGCTTTATCTGATAGTCATCAGCCAATTGTTCGTCCACTTGTGAGGCTACTGGATAAAAATATTATTCTGACTCGTATAAACCCATTGGTATGCATGCATTATAATAATGACCAGCTCATTTACAACATGATGAAATATAGGGAAAGTTAATATGCATAGTCCCAACTGTTGATGCTCTTCTCATATTAATCCCAATTATTGTTAATTGCAATATAATCTGAAGTATAAGTGGTATCTTCTCAGAACAAACTGGTGACATGCATAAACCATTCAGCAGGTCACCCGTCACCTGTACACGTGTCATATTTTCATTGTTTTTCATTTTTTCTTTTCTTTTCTCCTGCTTTTTTCTTCATTTTCAATAGCTCAATAGTCCTCCGTTCTCCAGTCCCCCCTGGGTACCAGCTAGTTCATCTTTCAATTATGGTAAGCTTCTGGGTTAAACTCGCCAAGACTTGACCTGATGACTTCCCTTGTAGAGTGGGTTCTAAGTTGGAAAAGGCATCAGTTATCAAAATTTCCTAGTTGAGAACAGCGGAGAATCCCACCAAATATCTGGAGATTCAGAAAAACCACTTAAATAGAAGATCTGCTAGTGTTACATAAACATCCCTTCTCTCGGAAAGAAGCTCAATCGGACCAGACCTGTGCAGATGGCGAATAGTGACTACTGATTTCTTCTCGTAGTTCCTCTCTTACTTAAGGCTCGATTCATTGTAGTGCCTTTGAGGGTTTCTGGTTACAAAATGAAGATAGGCCAGCAGCGGCATACCTCACCCACCCGATTAGATGGGAAGGTATGGCTGTTGTTCTTCATTGTAGTAATTCTTTTTTCATCCAATGGACTTATTGCCTCCAAAAAGCAAATCAAATGCTTAAGAATTCAGTCATCATTTCCACCACTTTATTGCTTTTGCCGTCTGATCGGTATGCTCTCCAATAGCATCATCTCCATCATCAGCCTTCGTTACCTGATCCGGAAGTTTCATTGACTGTCCCTCATCCTTCATCCACCATGAAGGTTTGAATGCCAACTCCTGTTGGTGAGAAAGCCATGGCTTTTAACTTTTCTTCTTCTTCTTCTTCTTCTTGTTTCTTTTTTTTTTGTTTCTACCAGTTTAGTAGGTTACTGGTAACTTGGGATCAATTTGAGAACACCAAACGTTAATATGGGATTATTTTAGAGTTATGCATCTTTGGGATTCATATTGGAAGACCACTACTCGTTGGGGTTATTCATATGGATTTTCTTATAAATATGTAGTTTGTTTAATGCATATGAAGACTTGTTTGTTTGCAGATCCGTGATACAAGTGTTCTTGTGAGATTGAGACCTGCATGGGATGATCTCCGAGGCTACTTGATTGCAAAGGGTAGGAAGCGCTTTGAAGTATATGTTTGCACAATGGCTGAAAGAGAGTATGCTCTAGAAATGTGGAGGCTTCTTGATCCAGATTTAAATTTAATTAGCTCGAATGAGCTCTTGGATCGTATAGTCTGTGTCAAGTCTGGTAAGCTTTTTGGCTGTGGAGCTGTACCCACCTTTAATTCCTGTTGTTGAAGTCGAGAAGATTTATATATCCTTGAAGCTCATTAACTTCCTTTAATTTTGTTGTAGGCTTGAAGAAATCCTTGTTCAATGTTTTCCAAGATGGGACTTGTCACCCTAAGATGGCTTTGGTCATTGATGATCGTTTGAAAGTGTGGGATGAGAGAGATCAACCCAGAGTGCATGTTGTTCCTGCCTTTGCTCCATATTATGCCCCTCAAGCTGAAGTAATTACTATATTGAAAGTATATCAGCCCATGAAGTTCTTTGTTTAAGTTTTAAGCTCAGAGGGGTTATGACATTATTAAATTGTTGAATGTAGGCCAACAATTCTACTCCTGTGCTATGTGTTGCAAGAAATGTTGCCTGTAATATCAGGGGTGGTTTTTTCAAGTAATTGTCTCAATCGATACACTGTTTTGTACTTGAGTTTTTTCCCTTTTCCTGATGACATCTTTTTTTATCTTAGATATCAAGCAATTTTCTCCAGTTGTGTATCTGTATTTCTGTTTTGATCTTTGACCTAACAGTGCCTAATGTGGTGTAGAGATTTTGATGAGGGGCTCTTACATCGAATTTCAGAAGTGGCATATGAAGATAATTTTAAGGAAATACCTGCTGCTCCTGATGTTAGCAATTATTTGATTTCAGAGGTCTTGAGTAAAAGTTGAATTACTCTTTCCCTATGTATATTTAGAATACTCTAGTTGTTTATATCTGATTGTAGTGCATTGTTTTTATCCATGCTCAGGATGATACAACCACTCCCAATGGGAATAAAGATGCCCTTGGTTTTGATGGCATGGCTGATACTGAAGTTGAAAGGAGACTAAAGGTGTTATTATATATCTCTTCTATCTGTTGCTTCCCTATCTTTTATTGTGTTACCAAGAAACTATAAAGTACAGTTCCAGCCATCTCTTTTCTTCGTCTTCATGTGGGTTGGTTGAGGGGAAGAATGGTTTGTCATACACCCAAATAAGATTTAGGTTTTGTTTGGATGAGCATACATTTCAGGAAAAATACAGTATAGGTGAGTAGGTGAGATGAGCAAATGTGTAGATTTTTAAGTTTTTTTTAATAGAGAGAAATATGAAAGATGTTGAAAACAAAGAAAAACAATCATGTAAAGGCATGCTTAAGCTTAAGAATCTATTCACATAATTCAAAAATTAAAGAATAAGCGTCTTTTTAATAATTTGAATAGGACCCAAAATAAGTTACTACAAGGATATCATTAACAAATAGGACCCAAAATATCACCTACGTAGGCGAGTTTTATCTTCTTCTGGTGAGCTCCATCAATTATTTTCTTCCGTCCCACTTTTCTCTATCCAAACAAGCGAAAAGTTTGTCTTCTCTTTCACTTCCCTTCACCCGAAAACTACCTATACAAACACATTAAAGTGCATTTCATTGTCATCTAGGAGGCAATGGCTGCTTCAGCAACTATCCCTTTTGCAGCTTCTAACTTGGATCCTAGAATATCCGCAGCTGCTTTTCAAGTCCCATCCCAGTCTTCTTCGTTCTCAATTCCTGCTCCACCAATGCAAGCACTGGGGATGCCTCCCTCTTGCAGTCAACAGCTACCTCAAGTGGCTCCACTGCTCAAATCAACACTGACCCAAGTGACGACTCAAGACATAACAAGCTTGCAGAGTTCTCCTGCTAGAGAAGAGGGTGAGGTACCAGAATCAGAACTGGATCCTGATACCAGGAGGAGACTACTTATTTTACAGCATGGTATGGACAACAGAGAACATCCTCCTGGTGAATCCCAGCCTCCTGCACGGTCCTCTGTACAAACATCTGTTCCTAGGGTTCAATCCCACAGTTGGTTTCCGAATGAAGAAGATATGGTGGGTCCTGGGCAACTGAAAAGAGGCCTACCACCTAAGGATTTTTCTTCAAGTGGGGATTCAGTGCATATGGAGAAGCACCGTCTTCATCCGCCTCCTTATCACCACAAAATGGATGGCTCTGTTCCCTCTGATAGACTTGTTGAAAGCCAGAGGCTGCCAAAGGAAGCAAGTGATGATCGAATGAGAATGAATCAATCTCTTCCAAGATTTCAATCATTTTCAGGTAAGTGATGTTTTCAATTCTAGTCCATGCTTAAATAGTCATCATTCCTTATTTGGTAAAGTACTTTAGTTTACTAACCTCATTTAATATCCTCACATACCTCCTGTAACTACTCCAACTACATATTAAAAAGGCAAGCCTCAACGGCAGAATATTTGATTCATAAAAAATGAATTTTAAATAAGGAATGTCTGGGTTAAATAAGTATATTTTCTTCTTATCTGGATGGTGCATTGAATAAAAACCAATACTTAATGTGTGGTTAGACTCAAGAGTTATGAGGATGATCAATTTATTGCAAACAGTAGTGTTATGAGAATAACGTTAGTATGTTATACAGGTGAAGAAGTTCCCTTGTCTAGGGCTGGAAGTAGGGATCTTGATCTTGAAGCGGGTCGATTTGATTCATATGCTGAAACAGAAGATGGGGCATTACAAGATATTGCATTGAAGTGTGGAACAAAGGTACAAGAGGGTTTCTCTACCAGTGTTTTTTTTTGCATTTGAAGTTAATTCATTCTATTCTCATTTTGAATTCGTGCAGGTGGAGTTCAGGTCAGTATTGGTTTCAAGCTGTGATCTGCAGTTCTCTTCTGAGGTTTGTGTTCTATGCTCTCTAAATTCTTGTACTGATGGCATTCAATGAGTAAATGACTAACTGTAATTAACTTACTGAGTTCTATTTTGCATTTAAATTATCAATATTGAGTGGAATTGCAATTGATTTCTTCTTAATCGTATTTGAAATGTGAACCACATCATTAATGTTTCTCCTCGTCAAATAACAGTTTCGTAAATTTTTAATATTCTGTAGGCCTGGTTTGCGGGAGAGAAAATTGGAGTAGCAACGGGTAGAACTAGAAGGGAAGCACGGCATCAGTCAGCTGAAAGATCTCTTAGAAATTTGGCTGGTAGGATATGTTGATACTGAGCTTTTGTAGGACATGGACAAGTGTGTCTTGATTGGCTGAATTTACTTTTCTATTTAGTTGGAACTTGGAAATGATCCTTGTTTACTATATTGATTCTTGTTTGGAAATTTGTGATAGCTCGGTTTTGATGCTTTATCTTGATGGTTGTTTGTTTATTTACAGAGAAGTACCTGTCATGTGTTAACCCTGACTCCAGTTCTGTACCTGGCGATGCAAGTCACTTCATTAATTCAAACGATAATGGCTTTGCAAATGACAAGAGCATGTTTGGGTACCAATCATTGGCCAAGGAGGATGTACTGCCTTTTTCATCAACACCAGAACCACCAAGAGGTCTTGACCATAGAATGGACACTTCGAAGAAGTCAATCGGTTCAGTTGCTACACTTAGAGAGCTCGTATGATCTCATATATTCCCCGCTTCTTCTAATTTTTTAATTGCTCTCCTATGGGAATTCTGAAATGTCTGTCTAATGCCATTAATGGCGTGTTTGGAATTTGGAAAATGTAGGGAGTGAAATAGGTAGAGAAGCATAGGAGAAATTTGGAGTGAAAGAAAACTTGGTAAAAATAAAGCATTGGCTCAAAGTTCAAACTCAATAAACTTATTTTTAAATTTGTTCAAACCCATATTTATTTATATGATACACAGACTAAGAAATCTGAATTATATTGATAAAGTTGGGGTTTTTATTTTACTTCATTATCATTTTGATTTTCGAGGCTTTCCAAATGCAAGGATTTTTTATTATAATGTTTTCTTATTCCCTAGCATTTTCTGTGGCTCAAACATAACCTAATGGTTGTCATTATTCTTATCCAGTGCACAATGGAGGGTCTTAGTTTGGCCTTTCAAACTCAACCACAACTTTTAGCTGCTCCAGGACAGAAAAGTGAAATATATGCTCAGGTTAGCCGGTACCCAAATTTGTGAAAATGTTTATATGTTTTTTCTGAGGCTGTGTAACAATTAGAGGATATGTTTCTTAGTTCGTTTTTTTGCATGTGTTAGGTGTTATATTAATGTGGCTCTGTTGTTTTTCCCTCATCAACTCAAAGTTCAATATGATTAACTCAAAGTTCAATATGCTTCTAAAAAACAAGACTACACAGAAGTGAGCTAGGAGTTTTCCGGATTTGTCTGTTTGTTTAGGTTATTTGACCCAATACCAATATTATTCATAGATATTTAGGGTTTCTATCTGAACACTGGAGTTATAGAAGATTTACCAATTTGGTCATTTTAAAGAACTACACATCTCTTCCATAATAACCGACTTTGTTCCCCACTCCTTTTACTGTAATATTTCACCCCTGGTATGGACATGCCTGACATTTTCTGCTATTAAACAGGGTAGACGGTAGTGATGGTAATAGAACAAAACAAGATGTGAATTACTTGTGCCATAGTTAACTGTTAGTCACACACGTTGGTTTCAGGTTGAAATAGATGGAGAGGTGTATGGGAAGGGAATTGGGTGTACATGGGATGAAGCCAAGGCACAGGTACTCCACTCTTTTTAAATGAATTATAACTTTACTATCCCCTCCCTCCTCACTCAGCCACTTATCTTTGTTCTATGCGTTTGACCTTTTGGATAATTCATTCCATAGGCTGCTGAAAGGGCTCTTGGAGCTCTAAACCCCACTCTTAGTCAGTTCTCATTCAAGCGCCAGGGTTCCCCAAGGTAACACAATCTTTTCCCAATAGAAAGCACCTTGTTTTTTTTGGGGGGGGTGGGGTGGGGGTTCTGGATAAAATAAAACCCATTTCTCCCGTGATAACTTCAAATAGTTGTTTTTCACCTAATTTATTGTACTATATAGTTTCTATGTTGCACTTTTTCGTGTCGAGAGAAGACTTTGATTTATTTGCCAAAATTCCAAAAGTGGAAGAGACGAAAATTAAAGTGCATCAAACTGCGTAAGAAGGGTGATTTTTATCGGAATCTATATACTATCTATTAGTTTTTGTAAGTGTTCATTAATGTTGCATACAGACTATTAAGTAGTCACAATATTGCCAACTCTGTCCCAAAATAATACTCCCCCCTTCCCGCTAAGATGGTCCCATCTTTCCTTTTCCATCCGGCTAAGATTGTCTCATATAGTACCAAATTGGTAAAGTTTGTGTGGTTCTAAATCATTTTTACTTTATTCTTGCTTTATCAGTTTAATATCAATCACATAATTCCATTTTTCTTAATAACCGTACCACCTTTGCTGTGTCCCAATGCTAGTGGGACGGAGGTACTAGTTATGTATGTCCTTTTTGGGCTCCAAATATAAAGGTTACATTTACTTTTTTCGGAAAATAATTTTACATATCATTCATACTTTACCCTTTGAAAATCTATAAATTTTCTATCCAACATTCAACTTTACTTACGTTTTCACTGCTACAACAAAATTAAATGCTAGTTTATGTATTTTTATACTATTATCTTAATCTACGGGCACAATTAAAGTCACACCATTAATTTGGGATGGTGGGAGTAATTGTTACGGAGTAACATTTAATGGATCAAGGTTTTATAATAAAATAACCTATTGAGATAACCTCTAACCAAACATGTTGGTGCCACACCCATTCAATATTAACCAAAAACAAAATCACCATCAATGTGAGATTTACATCAACCTAACATTTTTCAAAAGTCATTACATTATTTCCACCACTTTTGTAGATTTGTTATCTTTTAAAATTTAAATCCCGATGTTCGTTGTGGAGCAGGTCGTTGCAGGTGTTCAACAATAAAAGATTGAAGTCTGAATACCCTAGAATTTTGCAGCGTTTGCCATCTTCTTCCAAGTTTTCCAAGAATGCTAATGCTGTGCCATGAAATATATATACATTGTGATGAAAAAGCTGCCCGCTGTTATGGTTTGGTGTGCCCCAGTTAGCATACCCTTTGGTTACCATAATACCTTTACGCTGATCAGTTCCACACTTCCACTTCCTCTGATTTGAAAGAGTTGTTTGGAATTCTAACCTTGCAGATTAGAATATCCATCAACTTTGTGGGGACACTACATAGTAGGTACAGAGGGGGGAGGATGCACCCATTGACCCACAAGCCTCCTTAAACACAATAGTGTGGAGTTTGTAATGTTCTTCAGGTAAGCACATCAGAATGCATGGTTCGAGTCTCTCTTGTCAAAGTTCGTAAACAGAAAAGATAGTGATGGCGTGAAGATGTGTACCAAAAGTTAGGTTGATGTTAGTGTCTTGATCCTATGCTATACAACCTTGTGGCATGGGTTCCCTTCTCTTTTCTTCATTGTTTTTACCTTTTCTTTTTCCTGTAGAGTTTTCAATGCAATTTCTTCATTTATCTCTCTATGTAAGACACAACTTTGGTACGTAATGATAATGAGTTTTTCAACTTTAATTTTACATCCACTTCATTTAAGTGCAGTCCACAAAGAAGTGAATCTGGAGTTTCACTCAAATCGGGTTTTCATTTCGTAGTATTAGTCTTGGTAGGGAGAGCCAATGGTATGGGCTAATGGAAGCTGTCCCTTCACTCCTCTGTTTTTATGACATACTATGAACACCATCAGCAACTTCCCTATTTCTAGTTCATACTATGAACATCATAGTATGAACTTTGTTAGCAACGTCCTTATTTTTATGAACATTATTGGTAATGTGATTCACATGTATGTCATATTGTCATGTTTTGATTTAAAAGGGATGAAACGTGAACTTGTTGGACCCGAAGTGGCCTTGACCCGACTTGACACAATTCATTTAGTTGGTGATCAAAACAAAGTAGGTCATATGCCCGAAATTTAGAGTAGGAAGGAACTTGATTATACAGTTGCAGTTCATATATTTAGAAGAAAATTTACAATGCACTGAAGACTAGCTTTAGATCTCTACACTGCTGTATTTTTAATCTATCAAGTTGTTTGAGGAATTGAGGATACAAGTAAATGCTATTATATGGATTGTCAACCATTTTTCAGATTAAGGAAGGTGTGTATAGTAGGAGGTGATAGCTGAGAAGGTGATGTGGCGCCCTTTCATTCGCTCAACCTTCCTCCCTCCAAATCATATTGAATCCTTACATGAAATGTATTCTTCCCTTTAGTAACAAGATTAGACATTTAACGTGGGTGTTGCCCGATAGTAGACCTCGACAAGCCCCCAGGTTGTGGTTGTCCTCTTTGATCGAGTCTAATGAGTAATGACTATCTCACTGGGCCTTATAATTGGACGGACGCCCTGAATATGCTCTTCTTCAACCACAGAGTGGTCATGAGCTAGATGAAGGTCTCTCGGTCCAATATCCCAACATAAGTCTCACCCTTTTGATTTTTTGACCGTGCAAGGGGTATAAAAATTCGGTATCTTCACCAACTAAAATTCGTTATCTTGGCCATGTGGATGACACTAGTGGTTTGTGTGGCTCGGGGTAACACTTCATCTCCATTCAACGTATGTGCCCCCATGCACCCCGCATGACATATGTTGGTCATGAGGGACACCCCAAGCTCCTATATGAGATAAAAACTCCCAAAATATGACCAGACACATATGGAACAAAATAAGCAAAAGAAAATACCTAATGATATCATATGCCATCACATTAGGGGGAACAAAGGATAGGAGTTTGTTTTTGAGAAATGCATAAACTTTTAGTCATAATTGAAATAATTTTCTATTCATTTAGTCCCATTATTCCCATCTAGCAAATTATATGCAAGTATAATTGTACAAGGGGATTTGTAATGTTTGACTTGCATGATATGAGGGTTAAACAGGTTTAGTCAATTTTCTTGCAACCCGATATCCTAACATCCAATTTTCACACAACAAGAACCCAGATATAGATAACGATGTGAGGAATTTATGTTTTTGATAAAAAACATAATGACAAAAATAGAAATAATGACAAAATAATACCAAAGGCTTTTTAGTTGACAAAAATAGGACCAAATTTTATGAAATGTCTGCGAGGGCAACGAGAAAGGAGAGCTATGGTTGTGATCAGGGGCGTAGCTAGGGGAGGGCCAATCCTAGCCCTGACCCAGCCCAAATTTTAAAAATGTCTATTTTTTTAGTGTAAAAGATTTCATGTAAAAAATCCAAAAAAAAATCTTTGTATCGGTCCAGTCCGGCCCAATGTCCTGGATCTGCCCCTGATTGTGACAACGACAAGCAACGGTTGAGAGTGAGACATTGCTATTTTAGCTATTTTTTATATAATTAGAATTATTTTTTCCACTCTATTGGCTGAAGTTACTGTAGATGACGATTTTAGCTATTTTTTATATATTTTTTTTCTTTATTTTATTAATAAAAAATATTTTAAATATAAATTTTCCATAAATCAACAATGATGGATAGTGTACCTGGGGGTAACTTATCCGAGTGGTTACTGCGGGGAGTAATCTAGAGAAAAGTCAGAGCAAATAAGTAAGAGAGAGAGAGCGAGTTCGAATATATGAGTTATGTATTCAAGTTGTGTGTTACAAAGGGGAAAAGGGCAACTATTTATAGTAGCAATAAATGCTAGATAGGGATATGTGTCAGCATTCTGGTGGTCGAGGGGTCACCTCAACCGGGGTGGCACTGACACTCGCATGTGGCCGGATTAAATGCGGTGGTTGGATGCGACGTTTGTACTTGGTACAGTGATCCAGCGCATGTGGATGGGAGATTCTGTCGAGGAGGATGCCTTCGGCTGTGGATGACAGTCCGAAGGCTCTGCGTACCGGGGGCCTCATAGTGCCGAGGGCTCCAATTTCCGAAGGCTTGGTTTTCAAGCCTTATTTTCCCGTGATGTCGTTGAACCCAATTCTGTCACTGGTAGCCTTCAGCCATGGGGCCGAAGGCACCCCTTCATGCATCGTGGGATGCTCAGAGCTTCATTATGCTGGGCTTGGCCCGCTTGGCTCTGTTGGGCCTGATTGTAATAGTGGAAGTATGTGGGCTGGGGGTCCCTTGGCCATATACTCCATCAGGAGTCCCTCACTCCTTTTGCCGAAAGGTACTTGAGGGAAAAGGAGTAATTGCGTTTGTCTTCGGATGCTGCCTTGCTGTAGTTTGTAAAGTTTGTGAGAGATTTTGCGCTTGCGTGTTTGCCAAGGGCAGTCCCTCAGTCCCCCACATCTTGGGACTGAAGGATGTTGATGCTTTGTGAGAATAATTTTTAGCATTTTGTGATATTCCCGGAGAGGTTCTCTATTCCCCCACTCCTTGGGGCACATGTAATGTGGTGAAGAGGAGTAGAGTCTTGCCTATTTCCAGCATAGGGCCGAGGGGTTGACTCTTTCCGTTTCATTTTGGGGGGATGCCTCGTTAAAAACCTCGTTAGAAAAAACCCTGTGGGAAAAAATTCTAACGAGGGAAAAAGAGTACACCGAGTTCCCCCAATGATGAATCAAAAAGAAAAACCCTTGGTTTGAGATGAAGGACAATGTTGATGTCGAGAGGTGTCCGTGATTTGGGGGTTTAATCGTTGATTTTGCCGAAGGCTCTTCGTTGGTGTCCTGGTGATGCCGAGGGGGGTGAATGCTGGAGCACTCCTCCGAAGGTGTTGAGGGGGTTCCCTGGCGCTTGACAGGTTGGAGGCTGAGGGGTCCCGAGGGGTCCCATTATTTTATGCCGGAGGCTACCCACAGATGAGGGTGTTTGAAAGTGTGGCCCCGGGGGGGCTCCTTGGTTTTCACAATGTTGAGGGCCAAGGGGTCCTGAGGGGTTTTCCCGTTGTTTAATCAGGGGCTTCTTTTGAGGAAGGAGTCTGAAGGAGAAAGCCCAAAGGCATGCATAGTGTTGTGTGAGGGGTGCCAACTGGGGGCACCTCTGTGTTTACAAAAAATAGCCGTTGGAATATGACCGTTGGAGAGGGTTTCCACGTGGCGTGTGTTCGTTGGCTGTTCGCGGGCGGGTGTCACCGGTTGGCGGAGATGACGGTTTGTAATGATGATTTTCCCATCAGGGGCCCAGTTTCTGGCCCAAGCCCGGATTGGGGAGGCCTATAAATACCTCATGGCCATGGCCATTCCTCCCTTACGCGTTTCATTGTTTTAGCGAAGCCCTAACCAACTTTTTCTAGAGATAGAAAGTGTCGTGCGATCAATCTTAGCCCCCAAGGTCAGTTCCTCACTTGCACTTTGCACACTTAGTAAGTTCTTTGCCTTGCGGCCTTAGGCGTAGTGTTAGCCGATCCTTAGGAAATTTTCTTCCTTCGAACCCCTCAACTTCCAAAGAATGTCATCACAGAGCGATTCACAAGATATCTCGAGGGAGCCCTCGGCTGAGACACAAAGCGTCTCCGAGGTGGAGTCTTCGAGCGGGCAGCTATTGGCTGGAAATGACTTGGCGGTAGCTGAGGAGTTTCAGAACAACCTTTGGGTGGAACTAGAGGCCGAAGATTTCGAGCAGGTAATCGAGGACGAGGAGCTGGCCCTCGCCATTCAAGTCGTTGAGGAGGAGCAAAAGGAGAGAATGAAGGTTACTCTTGCCTTCCCGCCCCCTCGAAATGCTGGTGAGGCTAGCAGCTCCCGGCCACTCAACCCGGAACCTCTCAGGGTGGCCCCGGGGAAGAAGGCGAAGAAGAAGACGGGGGTCCCCAAGAAGAAGGGGAGCACTGCGGACCAAGGGAAACCCGTCGGTATTCCCGAGGGGTACTCTTTCCTGAACACCGAAGCCCTCGAGTTGAAGTCGAGGGCCGACAAAGTGGAGTGCTACATGACGCAGCTGCACGTGGGCCCTCGGGAACCGTGGTGGAGGGCCGACAAAGTGGAGCTGACCCTTGATGACGATGTGTATGCTCTCGGCTTCCGACGTTACCGATTTCTAGGGGAAGTGGACGAGAAGTACCCCGTTCTTGACCGAGCCTTCAGAGGTAGTTCCCGGAGGCTCTTGGCTTTTGTACTTAGAAGTTTTTGTGATGCTTTTGATGTATGTTCTTGTTTTGACCCTTCGGCCTTATCCCTTGTCGTTTTGCTTTGCAGGTACCAACATGGACGTCAGGGGTTTTGCTGGCCTGATGAAGAAGTCCGTGAAGGACCCTAAGAAGAAGGGGACGGGCAGCCAGAAGCTCGTTGGTGAATTCCTCAAGAAGGGCGGTGAGCCCTCGGCGGTACCTTCTGATGATGTCGCAGCTGCTGCCAAGAGGAAGGCGGCCGGCAAAGTTGTTGCTCCCCCCGGCAAGAAGCCGAAGAAGGGGGATGCTGAGAAGAAGGCTCCTCCTGTGGTGATTATTGAGGGTCACTCCTCATCCGAGCTCCCGGTCGTCCCGCCAGCTACTTCCAAGGCCCTCGCGGACGAGGGGGGCCTGCCCAGGGAGAGTATCCAGTTTTCTCTCCTTAAGGGAACGGCCATCGTGCATGGCACGGTGGACCCGAAGGAGTTCCTGAGGGGTGCCACCCCCTCGCTAGACAAGGTTGCCCTCATCCG